TGTACATATATGACAATTTAATAAAAGCTCACTAAATAAACAAAATTATTATTATTTATATTTCAACAAAAAATACAATATACTAACATATACATCTATACCATGTATACATAAGACGCATTTTATTTTATTGGAAATGTAGATATGTAAGGATTTAAATATAAAAATCTCATTTACATAATAATTATTGCTACTCGTATTATATAATTTCTATTCCAATAATATTATGCGTTTCGCACTTTTTTTTTTAATTAAAGTAAAATGAAATAAAATGAAAGGTTTATACAATAAACAATTAATATAGGTATGTAACTAAAAAATAACAAATTGCATATTGTTATCCTTGCCATAACAATATAAACGCATTATAGTAGGTATTCTCGTAAATGAACGGAAATAGCTAGATTTGATGCATATCAAAATCCTATAAGCACAGATCTAAAATGGAATACAAACATTGATTTGAAATTGTTGAGAAAATTTCCGCATTTATTATAAAAAAGATTTCCGTTTTAAAAAGTACAAAATCATGTAATTTTTTTTTTTTTTTTATTTTAAGATTATAAAAATTATTTCTCGTCATAATATTGTAATTCTTTACAATGTTTTGTATATATGTATGATATTTTGTGTATGTGTGTGTTTGTGTCATTTCCTGTATTTTATTCCGTGAGTAATAAATTCCATTATCTTCTTGAATTTTATATTTTGTCTTTTTGTTTGCAATTTTATATACGGGTATATGAGTATTTTGTATAAATTTTTTGCAATTTCAAAAAATATGATTAAAAATTTTAAATTTAATTTGTAACACAATTATTAATGGTAATACAACAATATTTTGTATTCCGCTAAGATATAAGTGGTTTTGTTTAAATGTTTATTCCATCGAAAATTTACATCAGGATTTAGATCGAAAATATGCATGGGAAAATGAAAGTAATATTGGTAAAAAGCCGAACCAGGAAATATTTGGAATATTATAATAAAAAAAACTTCTTAACAATAATTAGATTTGCAATGAAAGTCTCGTATTTTGACTCCCACCTAATATGTGATCTAACAGGGTAATGTAATTTAACAGGCTGTGTAGCTAATATTGGCTATTACAATAGGCTAATATTGAACCATTAATAACATATACACGTTTTTGGTGAAAATATTTTACAGTTGAAGGCATCACATTTTCATTTTATCATTTAATATTTTGTCTGGCATTTTGATTTCAACTATAGAAATTTTAAGTCACGGAAACAGTTTTTAAATAAATAAAAATACACGAAAAATAATGCAAAAATGCGGCGTTTGAAGATACTTGCGAATTACTAACCTTAACACTAAATTTCCTTTTATTATTATACACAAGGTATACACAAATCTTAACATATTTCTCCTAGGGGAGTCATCTGAAGCTATTCCAAGTCAAAACATTTTTATTCCCTAAATAATTTCATGTCTTTCGCGTTAAACATTGATACTCCCTATCCTTGTTCCCCCCTCACCATGTTTCCACAATTGTTTATTTGTTTTTCATTTCTCTGCCTCCAATGAAGAAATATATCATAGAAAAAACCTCTGCATTACTCTATCTTGCTTCCATCGCTTCTATTTAAGAATAATTCGTATACGTTTTAATTTTTATTGTTTTTTAGTAGAAGAATAAATTGGACATTATTATTTTAATATCACATTTAAAAGCTTTAAAACAAAATAAAAAAAAAATTATTTCAATTGTGTCGCTCATATAAAACTCTATTGTCTCTTTTATCTATGAATATAAAGAGAATATAAATTTACATACATGAATGAGTATATTTTTTTAAATAAATAATAATGAAAACAAAACATAATTTATAAACATAGTAAACAATAAGAGAAAAGTCTATGTTGTAATTTTCTTCAATTTTAAATCTCTTTTGAAAATCATATTATTATTAAAAATTAAAAAGTATGTCCTTGACATTATATTCAATATCATTTAATACTTACATTAAAATAAATAATAAATTATTGTGATTATATATACAAAATATGAATAAATTAAAAATTTTAATATAATTGTTTTTTTTATAATATAGATAAAGAAAAAAATTAATATTTTAAAAGTGAGAAAAAAATAATTAATATAAGAATTGATTTCTCTTAATTTAAATAAAATATTCAAAATAGGCAAAATTTAATTAAATACCAGAGCAGCTTACGAATGTACTGTGTCTCGATCCAGAGAATAGAGAGAAAATATTTACGCTTAACAAATAAGTTTATAGACAAGAATGCAAATAATATCCAAGATATTTAGATGAGAAATATTTAGATAAAGAGAAAAACATGCTTGTATACAAAAAGAGTAAATACTCCTGGCTCTTTATACAGTGATACGCAAGTTTCGAATCACTGTATAAAGAGCCGGAATAGAAATATTGCGAAAAATTAATTACAAGAGTATTAGAAATTATCTATAAGCAAAATAAATATCTGTCGCTGGATTTGCTGTTAGTGGACAGCAATTGCATTAAGAAAACAAAATATTAAATGAAAAATTTAATTTTTATTTGATTTATTTTAATAATATAATTATGTATACCAAATTGATTTATTACAAAAAAAAAATCTTATTAAAAATTAAATCTTGCTGCTTTATTATAATAAATTCAAATTTCTGCATTATTTATGATTACAAAAAGAACTGGTGCGTATTAATTACTAAGTGTATAAAATATTTAACAGAGTCAAATGTAAATAAAATTGGACTTCAAATATTTACAAGTAATCCTACATATACACAAAGAAATAAAATATAAGAGCATATAATATTTATTAAAGGTCTTCAGAAAAAGTTGTAATATCCTCACTGTTTTTTATTTATTATTGTGTACCATGACGACGTAATAGTATGTAATATTATTGTCTATATCAATTAATTTGCTAAAACTCGTGCATTTGCCTTTATTTCATATTAATAATTATTAATCAAGGCATTAATCAAGGACATCCTGAAATTATGTAGCCTTTTCAACTATTCTTTTGATATTTTAAAAATCTTGTAATTATTAATTAATAATGAAATTTGAATGAAATAGTAATAAATTAAGATATTTATGTAAATATCTACATGGAAAATGTCGTAACCACCAATATTTATAATATTATCCTTTTTAATCCTTAAAATATTTGGATAGATTGAAAAATTTTCTGAACATAATTTAAATAACAACATTAAAGGAAAATTAATATTATTGTTAAAACACTATACTCCTGAATATTGCAAGAATAATTTTTTCTTATATCAAGACAGAATCCAAGGTAGCTTTACTGGATCTTATATGCAAAAATTATGTAAATTGCTACTAATCAATTAATGTTCATAATTTCAAGAACGTATCGGACCGGAAGTTTCAATTGTTTTAATGTGAATTTGAAATAATTCTAATATATTGAATATTCACTTTCTTAATCAACTTCTGTTAATAATTATGAGAATAATACAATAGGAGGGCATCTAACCCATACATGAATTGGTTTGTAATTGATGGTACATACCATATCACACTGACTGTACCTTAGTAAGTGACCCATCATGTATTAAGACTAAAACTTTTATATTTAAAATTTTTATTTTAAATGAGATTTTAATAGTTTTTTTTTTTTCAAAAAATTTATATTGAAAATTTTCAAAAAAAAAAAGAATAAGAAACAAAAAATAATTTTTAAATCCAAATACTTGACGATTACGTTACATGTGTGTATTTGTGTATTCGTTTCTTTTATTTAAAAGCTACTTAAATATTTTTTTTCCTTTTTATTTTTTGAAATTTTCACTAAAGTGTATTAACATGTTTTTAAAAAACTTTTGTAAAAAAAAATAAAGTTTTCATTTTAAAAAATACTTTTTCACTCTTTATTCATGTTAAAATTTTAAAATTTTCTAAAATAGAATTATTCAAGGTATTTATTTTTCACAAAAAAAAAAAACCCTTTTCAACTAAATTTTTTAATTACAATTTTTAAATTTTTTTGTATATAGGATTTATAAAAGATGCTTTAGAAAATAATGTATTTCATTTGATGATTATTACCTTAATAACATACGATCAAGATAACATACAGACAAATAGAGAGAGAGAGAGAGAGAGAGAGTAAAATTTTAAAGCGATTAATTTTATAATATCGTACATTGTTGCAAAAATGTTATTTATTTTACATTAGGGAAAAATTGAATTAAAACTTTATTTTATTTGTACAATATTTTGAATAAGCAATGTAAAATATTTGGTAATTTTAACAAATTACCATGGGAATCGTATAAAAGCGTATTAAAGAACTTTAGAATTAGAAACAGAATCAAATAAATGATTAAGAGAAATTAAGAATCGAGGATTTAAGTTTCAAATCGGAATCATAGAGAAGATTGAGAGATTTCAGGATAGAAGAGTAGAATGAGAGAAACCAAATTCGAAGAATCGGACTCGTAGATTTATATAATAGAAATGTCAGACTAAATTAATCCAAAAATTAGAGGGAAAATTGTCAGAGTCGTGGTTTTTGGAATCGAATATGGGGAAAAAGAAGAAGAGATTTTCAAACTGAAAAATAACTGTTTCATGATTTTATATTCATAAATATTTTGTGTTTTAAAATTTATATTCAAAAGAAAGTGAGGGTCTAACGATTGAGGTTAGAGTCACTTTATTGTAATCAAAAAAATAATGCAATCGACATGAAAACCGTACAATTTTAGCAACGACTCCTAATTTTTAATATATGGTGATTAATATGCAGTAGTACAGATATTTTGCACATTCAACCAAACCATAATATTACTTGTATTCAATCAATCTAAGATTTATTCAGAAAATTTTACATCTTCCTCTTCGATAACACATAAATTACTGTTATATAAGTTAAATTTCATTTATTATTTTTATTCCACTAAATTGTTAATAAAATTTATTGCTCATTTTATATGAAATTATAATTTTATTTCTTTTTATATATTTCAGGATCATAAATTAAAACATATGGCTGAATTACAGCAAAGTGTTGTTACTGATCAAGATACACGTCATCAAATTCAAACACAAATCCTTCAATGGGAGGAAAATTTAGAACGTTTACATTGCGAACAATTTCGACTTAGATGTTATATGGCCTCATTGCAAAGTGGTGAACTTCCTAATCCTAAGGTATGTTTGTAAAATTTTCTTAAATTTTATATTAACTTTAATATTCACTTTATTGAATTTTTGTAAGTAAAATAAACCTTTTAAAAATATGGTTTCTTATAAAAAAATTAATAATATCACATTCCAAGTATGCGCATAATGTGCTTGTGTCTGAAAAATAAATATTTGATACTTGCAATTCGAATATTTCATATTCATATTCAATTTTTCACTCTTTCTAACATTAATAGTACTCGTATATCCTTCATAGCAACAAAAAATACTGAATCAATTTCTGTTCATATACAAATTGTTATGTCAGTGCTTCTACTCATATGAGAATTACAATGTAAAATAATTGATGTTGAAGTATGCAATATACAATTTCCAAGAATACAAAATCATTTATTAGACCAAATAATACACGATTTTTGCATTATCTAAAATTATTGATTTTTTCTATAAATCTACATATATATATATATGTACTAATAATAATTATATACATATATGCGATAGTTTAAAGGTGTAATTATAACAGATCACATTATTATGGTTTTACATCGCCACAAAAAAAAAAAAAAAACATTTTCCAATATAAACTGAAATGAAAATGAATCTGAATTCTTTGAATTCTGTATAGGACCATGTATGAAAGGAAAACAAACCCCAATAACAAAAAATTATCCAAATATTTCTACAAAATATATGCAATATACATACATACATACATTTATACTTTCATTTTCATATTAAAATAGTTATATCCGATAATAATGGCATCACATTATATAAGTATGCTAACTAATCAAAAAAAAAACAAAGAAAAAAACTAAACAAAATTGAACATTTTCAGAAAATTCCTATTGGTTTTAATGTTAGTAATCAAAAGAAATTAGTTTTCATATTTTTTTTTTTGTTGTTGCTAAACTTATACAACTAAAACATGCAAATTCATAGAATATTCATTATACATGCCAATATACATGAATATCGCGCGGTTATTCACATAATGTTGTCATTATACGAATGTTATTAAAAATAAGCGAATGAAAGCATTAATAACATATTCGAATATACTATAAAGAGTAAGTTTTACCCATTAAATTTAGTATATGTACGTATATTAAGGTAAATATACACTCTTTCTAATTTTATGAATTTTGAGCATAATGTATATTGCATGTGGGCAGAGTGTCTCAGACATAATCGGAATAGAAATGCTTTTATTTTATAAAGCAGATGTGCCTTATTTAAATTTGGAAAGGTTGCTTACTATTTAAAACTGTTTGGTCAACTGGACACACAATTAATGCATATTACGTTCCAATAATTGAAATATAAACCCAAATTTTTAGTGAAATATAAAAAATACAATGAGGTCTCTAAAATATTGCGAACATTAAGTATTACGAAAATTCTCCACGGTAATTTCATAGCAGAGATTTATTATATGATTTCAATATGTGAAATCCCTAAAAACAAACACTTATCAAGGGACTTTCTGTATATCTAAAGTTCTACTATTGCTCATGAAATATTCAATAATGATTGTAATTCAAAATATATCGTTTAAAATTTTAAAACAATAAGAATCTCTCATTAAGCTGGAATTTGCTGTGATTCCAAATTGTTCCAAAATTTCGCGTAATCGAAATTTTAGAACAATATCGAAAAAAAATTTAATATTAAACAGTGAAACAACCGGTATAGATTTTAATATTTAACTAAAAAACTTAAATATTATACAATCCATTTGATATTAGAAAAATTGCAAAATATATAATATTCTGCCATTATAAGGTTCATTTTTTCATATATATGTTTTTTTAATGTCGATACTAGAAAATTAGGTATTAGAAAATTTAACTTACATTTTATGTATTGTTATTTTATAAGCTATTAGACATTTTGTAATAGAGCAATTATTATTGTTTTAATTCCTTATAATATGGAACACTGAAAAAAAAATAAAACACTAATATTATGGTTAGTTATTAAAGTGTTTGTAATTGTAACCATTTTAATGGTAACTTGCATTATATTGACACCATTTATTGTATGATTCTATAATGATATACAGGTACCTAATGCATATGCAATATAATATTTTTATGCTTAAAAATAGTGAATGTATAGAGGAAAATGGCTTCCACTAACATAATAATTTTTCTGTATTTTATTTCAAAATTATTTTCAATTTTATTTCAATTGAAATTAAAATGAATATATTTGAGGAATAATATTGTCGTATGTTTTTGGAGAAATGTGCAGTATAATATACTTTTGTGTAGAACATAAAAAGTTGTAATTGAAAATAGTAAAAATTTTAAATTAAATTTTTTTGTTTTTGAATAAAATTTTATAATTATAATTTAATCCAATTTAATAATTGAATTTTATTCATATTTTATTTTTTATTTTAAAAAAAAATATGGGATTATGACTTTGAAAATTACAGCAGAAAATAAAATTGTTACCCCTAAAAATATGCAATTTTATGATTTTTATTGTAAACAATATAAAATTGATTTACGATTATTAATTTAATATATTTTCAATTTTAATATTTGCGACAAAATATTTAAGCCCCAATTTCTTTCTTTAATTTCGAACACTGTTAAACTATACAATAAATTCGGATTTTGAATAAATTATAGGTTAAATATTGAATTTTTATAATAAAGTACATTAATCACATAGTATTACACAAATTAATTAAAAAAAAATCACCTGAAAACTCAGTTTAGTAAATTAAGTTTAAAATGAAGGTTAATTTTTGGAAAAGAATTTTTTTAAATATCCTCAATTCCATTAATTTCACGAAACAAGAATATTTGCATTATTTCTAAAAAATTTAAAACAATTCTTAAAATTCAATTATAATAAGATTATATTCCAATCTGGTTGTTTTACTTAAATTTCAGAATAAGAACAATGCAATATAAATTTAATAATATTTCAAATATAACACTTTAAATACCACTATACAATATTTTTATTTAATAGGATAGGATTGAAATGAATATTGTCCTAATTTTATTTATTGTCATAACAACCATGTTTTCTTTCTATACTATAGTAAATTCCATATATGTACTTCAATTTTCTTAAATTTATTTTTTTTTAAATTTTAATGACTTATTAATAATTTTATATAGTTCATGATCTTTCTTAATATTATATATATAATATTCTACTCTTATAATACGTATATATTAATAATAAAATAACATTGTCTTTTGTGTCAAATATACATATTTTTTAATTCTGGGTTATGTAAACGTATATATAACTTATAAGAATTTGATCAAAAAAGAAATGTCATACTAAATTTATAACACAAAATGAAAAACAAAATAAAATAAATATTTTATTTAGACATTTTTCATTTTATAAATAAAATTTTTTAAAAAATTTAGTACAATATTTTATATTATATACAATATAATAAATTTAAAATTTACATAATCTTTTGACATGTTATATGTTTATCGTATATATGTATAATTAAACTGATATATTTGAGAGATTCTCAACAAGTATATTAAAAATAATAAATTATTTTTATAATAAATTATTTATCAATAACTTTTATACCGATATCTATATATCTACATACCTGCATTTTCTGATATACTCGAAAATAATTCTGTCTATAATATGAGTATTGAATGGCAATTAAAATTTAATAGAGAAAAAAAATTGAAACTCATAGAGCTATTGTGTATTTTAATAAAAATTTAAAACTTTTATATTTTACCCTATTTTCATATTATATTAATATTTTAATAGAGAATTTTTATTAAATTTTTATTAAATTAATAATTACATTTTTAAAATAAAATACAGATATTTTAATTTTATTACACACACATGTAGTATAATCTATATTATGTAGTCTCTCAATTAAAATAAATTTTCCAGGAGAATCGAAAGAAAATTGATTTTATCAATTTATTATAGATGTAACAAATAATAATAATAATATAACCCAATATTTCTTAATAATAGTATAACAGATTTTTTATATATAATAAAACAAAACAAAATCCTTAATCCCAGTTTAAGAGAGTGAGAAAGTTGACAAGAAAATTTAAATAAGTGGATTAATAGTAATCGTCTCTTAAATTTTATTGACTCATTTAATTTGCTCACTAAAATAGAGCTGACAAAACAATGACAAAAAGGAATAAAATTATTGGAAAATGAGCTCCCTAAACTGACATATTATGTTATAATCAATAGTAGTAAGTGATATAAGTTCTGAAAATCACTAACTTATCAAAAAAATTATTCATAAATTAAAGGCAAAACGAACTACAAACTATGAACTATGTTAATCTCTCATAATTCTTTAATAAATAAAATATATAGTTCATTAGCGTACATTTGGTCTACTCTCATATTTTAATAAATGAATGTGAGAATAAATGAGAATTTTTTAATTAATTAAACCTAAAACTAAAGAGTTGCTTGTGAAGAATATTCACTGCAACAATAGTATTTTATTATTTTCAACTAGATATTCTAATTCAACTAGATTTTATATAATGTACTTAATAATAAATCAACTCTTCTTTTAAATTTTTTTCTATATTTACTTAAATAAATAATATAATATACAAAATTTTATTATAATACGTTATATTAGTCCTAATCTACAAAATAAATTTAAATATTTCTGAAGGACATATTATAGGTACTATAAAAATAACAAAAAAATAAAGAAACTAGCCTGCATATTATATTGTGTTTAAAAAAAAAATCATGAAAAATGACAATATTTTTCAAAAATAATATTATATATATATATAGGTAAATGTTATATATCTACAAGAAGATATATAATCTTATAAATATTTTCTATATACACGTGCTCCTATGTACCTATGTATAATATGTAATTTAATATCTTGACAACTAATATTTTTTTTTTCTCAAAAATAAAATAATATAAAAACAAAATCTACAAAACACTATTTATAATCTTCATTTTGAAAAAGAATATACTAGATAAA